TATCACAGGAACCCAAAACAGGTCTCAGAAAAACTCTGGGATTTTTTTTGAGGTTTAGGCGAAATTTTGCCTAACATTCCTGGACTATAATGGCCAGATCCACGAGAGGGACCTGCCATTCTTTTCTTCTTTAGGAGCTTTTTCGAAAAATTTAATTTATTTACCTCGCAAAAGGATCTTTTTTCGACAAATTCAACATTGGTTTTTTCAACCGAAATCATTATTTTTTGAGCAGTATGATCCGAAATGTGTGTGCAACACCTCAGAAACAGATTCACCGTCATAGCTTGCAAGTACATATATTATCTATACATGACTTACTATTAGCTGTGATCCTAGTGAAGTCACTTATTGTGTGTTTTAAATTAAATGAATGAACAATAGACATCAACTCAGATATTTTTCTATCAGTCCCTGAAAAGCGAATAATAAAATCAGCCAAAATAAACACACCATTTCCCATTCAACACAATGGTAATAATTGTTCCATTGCCTCAAAATTTGAAAGTCACCATTTGGCGGTCTATACACTGCTATAACTATTATGTTAGTATTTCTAAATTTTAATTTACATGCACAACATTCGTCATTCGATGACCCCTTCTTGGCCCAATGACTTCAATTCATCTCTGGCTCTGCATTTCAAGTCCTTTCTAACATAATATAGCACAGCCCTCTTTACTATTTTCCTGTTGCCTACAGAAACTAGTAACCATGTAGTGGTTTCCTATCCCATAATTAGCTAGCTGCATTTCAGTCTTCCAGTGTTCACTCACACATAGTAAATACACTACAAGAGGGTTCCTGTAACAGTTCTTCTATTTTCAGCACACATTTTTCCCCATTGGTTGCAGATTTTGATGTATAAGAACAAACTTGGTATTTTTTCTAAGACTATTTGATGTTCTTTCTTCCTTTTTATTTGGTTTTAGAGTTTCTCCGTTTCCCTGGGGCATTTTAATTACTCTAAAAAAATTCCTTGTTGACTGGGTGTTAACATACCTATTCCCTCTGTACGTAGGCAGGATATTTCAAATCTCTAGCATTGTGCGTCCTATCTTCAAGGTTTAAACGCTAAAAATTTGGACAGTCTAACGGTGTGTTTTCTGGGCACTGATTTGCTACATGTTTGGCTCCACATTTGAAACAGCATAGATCAGCTTCATTTAAGGACATATCCAAAATTGCAACACTTGAAACACATTGCTAAGTTAACATATTCTTATATGTAGGCTTTAGTTAAGTCAAAAGTTTTCGTTTCGTATTACCCACACCCACTTGAATATATCTGGTTCTGTTTGTAGAATCCAATTTTCCTTTCTTATATTTCTGCATGATTTCTTTGTTATGATTTTTTTTTTCCACATCATTTCCGAAAATATCATTAATTGTAGGATTATCTTCTATAAATTCGTGAATAAAATTATCAGATTCATAACCTATGTCTATGCCTGTGATCATTAGCATTGGATTAGTATTATACAATTCTTTTGTGTCTAAATTTTCTTGTTCCCTGAGTGCCTTTTGTTGATCCTAATCGTGACACAACACCAGATTGAAGGCGTCTTATGCCTTTAAAAGTTTCAATTGCGACTAACTTTTTTTTAATCTCTCGCAGTATATTTCCTGCCTGCTCAGGGCTTTTATTAATGTTTCAAAGATCCTTATTTCTGTCGGAGTTGTCCATTTTTCATATACTGTTTGGTTGTTGTATGTTGTAATTGTACCGTATGTCTTGATTTGGTTTGTTGCAGAATCCATGATTTGGTCTACATTATCCTTCCTTTTATTATACAATAGGCTGTGGAGATCAGTAGTTCTTTTTTGATGTTGTAGTTTTTCGATATTTGTTCAATCATTACATCAAGTTCTACAGCGTATTGTAGGAGGAAATTCTCAGAAAATTAACGATCAACACAATGCTTAAGTCCACAAACAACCTGATGGCCTAGCAATGGGTAGCTGTCTTTCACTTTTCTTGGCAGATGTCTTCATGGACCATTTGATATCTACAAAAATTATCAAACATAACAACAAAGAAATTTTACACTGGTTTAGGTATGTAGACGACTGCCTGTGTTTTCTGAAATGTGACAAACTCGGTGCAACAAACTTACTTGGCAAGATTAGCAACATACACCGACCATCCAACAAACCAACACAAACCGATCATCTGATTTCGAATACTTCGAATCATCCGCACCCACACAAAATGGCGGCCTTCAACTATTACATACATAGACTACTACACCTCCCTCTATCGACGGAAGACTTTAACAAAATCAAATATGACAAAATCAAATATGACAAAATCAAAAAAGAACTTTTCCCTGCACAACACACTGACAGCTTCAAATTTATTTCCTTCCCTCATGTTGATCCGATTTTCAATAAAAAGGTCGATAATTGTGTCAACCAATATGTGGATAATGTGAAGATATTCTTCAAAACCACAAACCAACTGGGTTCTCAGCTGATCAATACAGAATATAGGGTGGATCCACTCACAAAAAGTAGAATCCACAGACTCTCTTGTGGTTTCTGTAAGTGTTCTTATATAGGCAGGTCTTGCAAAACTTTGAGAACTCGCATTAACGAACACATGTCCAGAACTAACTCAGCCTTTGGTGAGCATATCCGCAACTCAAAACATAACTTTGACCCTCAGTCCAACTCAAAGATCCTAAGAGCAGTTTCATTAGAGAATTTCAATAGACTCGACTTCCTCGAGGACATTGAGATTAGCAAGGAACCTAAATATAGGGACCATTGTCTAAACACCCAAGTCAGCCTCAACAAATATTACTACATACCTTTACATAGGAGGCTACTTGATTAGTTTCACAATTAATTAATGAAAAATCCATTATTTCCAATTTCATATTATGATCCTGGTCAAGACAACATAACCTCACTTGCGCATCATCAACAATCAATCAGCTAGGTTCGAGAATCACGACCCACCCACTCTGTGTTTGATAGTTGACAATTTTTCAGAAAACAGCTGCTTTCTACCAAAAGTTTGACTTTACCTTGACATCCCAAAGACAGGATAACTTGCAGATTTTTATATTTAAAAATAACCGAAAAGACTAAACTCTCTCTCATTCAATGAACACCAGAATACATAATAACATTAAATCATTGAAAGAACAATTTATATTTTCCAATAATCAAGGGAAAACACACAGGAAAATTTAAAATTTATATTTATATTCAAATCTTGACTCTGTGGCGGTCCTCGAGAGAATTAATTTATTTTATTTTAACTGTGTGTAATATTTTTAAAATTTTATATTGTTTGTGACCTTTTGTGTACAGATCTGTAATTCTCGTCATTTCGTAATGTTTTTTATTCTCGTCGTCGTTGTCCTTTTACAATTTTAACTTCTGTGTCGGAACCTGACAATTGAGTAAAAAGAGAGAATTTGAAAGATTTCACATCCTCTTATTTATTATATACATATTTACAACTGCTCTATCATGAATTTCTTCTTCGCTCTCTTGCAGGTAGTACTGATGATGGCGGAAGCGCTCTACTACGCTGAATTTCAATGAACCAAATTTGCAAGAAATACACTTTGTTTCTTTCCTTATTATTTTCTATACCATATAAATACGCTACGCCATTTTTTTTTTTTTAGGTTATGTGTCAAACAAAAACAACTTTCAGCTGATAACACTGGCAACACCATGTTGCCATGTAACTTATCTTTATTCAAGATATATTTTCAAAAACCAATATTTATATGAATATTGCATCTATTTATATTATTGTTCCAAATAAATATACAATTGCATGCTCACTCAATTTTTATTAAATGATAATTATAATTTATGTAAATTCAGAAAGCACAAACTGTCAACATCTTAAAACAGTTATACGCATGAGCAGAAACCTTTGTGACGTCAGAAAGGATTCTGTTTGAAGAGGTGCTTTTTTCAAAAATTAATATAAAAAAAAAATAGGGAAAGCAGAAAAAAAAAGAACTGCACGTCAAAAATAAGCAAGCAAAATAATATCCTATAGGTGAAAAAAAAAAAAAATCGGCAACATGCCCATTGAATTATTAATGCAAGGCAACATTGAAATGAAAAAAAAATTAACTATTTTTTCAGTATTTTTCAAAAAATTGCTTTTTCTAGGTCATCCATTTTTTCTTTTTGAAAATTTTTAGCCTCGCAAAAAAATTCTCAATGGCTGTGTGACATCTCCCTATTTTATGTGAGTTAGGTAGGTACCTTAAAAATAAAAATATAGCTACACTAGCTATGTATGTATTTTCAAATCCAACCTAAGCTTGGAGGAAATATTTCCAGGAATTTAAAATGGAATATGTTAGCATCAACTCGGTACTTCGTGAAACGTCGACATTTATTATGATTTATTTTAATATGCCAAAGTGCACTTTGTAGATAATTCAATTCACTTCCAGAGTGACGGGAGTTTGCAATAACTTATAAAAATGGAAATATTTTCCGAGCTGGAAATTGAATCATATTATTATTGATGTTCCTGGGGGACTTCTAAATGGATTTTTATTTAGTAGGTACCTAGATTTTGAATTAAATGTTTCTTTGTAAGTACCTATTTACTTTAAAAAGTTTCTCCTTTTTGAAAATGATCTCTAATTCAATTTGGCAATTTGACAAAAAAGATTGTAATTTCCACCAATTAAATGAATATTGTTACTGTCGAAATCCAATTTATTTAAAGACGCCTCTTCCCAATCGATATAAAAGCGTTATAGCTGAAATATCTCCCAATTTCCACATTTAATCTGAAATTGATCTTCAACCGTAAAATATCTCTTCTTCTCCTTCTCACCAATTGTTTAGTATTTAGGGGAAGTTTTATCTTTCTACTTTAAAATGCACCGTATTACCAAAGAATATTTGAAAAGATTAGGAACGCCGCACATAAAATTACTTTTAGCTTTTATCACGAATTATATTTAGTCCCAGTGATCCCATAAGGTATTCTGCTTTTTATCTTCTAGGTTAGACTGGACCCAAAATGTTCATGCAGGACTTCTGCATCAGCCTGTTTCTTGAGAAGAAAATATATGGGCTCGTTCACTAATTTTTGGAATTGGGCATTATTGGATGAAGCAACTAAAAATAGAACTTTCTGCAGCCTTACTTTTGAAAAATTCTGAATCCTTCTAAAGAAAATAAATGAGAAAGAAAACTTTTTTGTTTTTTTTGCCTGTAGAAAACTTATTTGACATCTTATATTTTTTTTGGAAAATATACCTAAAATAGTTCTTCGTTTAAGATTTTATGCTCAAATTATATATTTAAATATTAGACTGCCCATTCAACTATTAAATATTTTAGTAAAAAATATATAGAATAATGTATTGGTTTTAATTGATTTTGCTTATAATCTAAAAGAAGGTGTTTTACCGTTTAAGAAATCATTATAAAACCCTACCAGCTGTCTTATTTAAACCTCACAACAAGACCCAAGATTACTTCTTATCCCCTAAACTCTAAAGAATAAGGCGAATCTTCAAATTCCACGTGAATGAACTCAACGTTGAATTGTCGTTGTTAAATTTAGCGAAATTAGTCTGTCGCTTCGAGCTACTACTTTCCCGAATTTTACAGATGTTAACCCAAAGAGACACCCCAAAAAGCCATTGTTAGGTACTCATGTGACAAAAAGATCGGTTCCTTACATGCGACATTGTTACGACAAAATCTTAGCCGTAGTTGCATTAAATTCTTTTCAATGTTAGGGGACATGTGTAATGCGCGACTTAAAATTAGATTTTATTCAATAATAGTGGAAACTATAGAAATGAATAGAGTAATGCTCCTGGGGCAAACAAGGTCTCTTTTATGTAGTGATTTGAACGTCCTGGGGATTTGAATTCGAACGTTGACAATCTGTCCGAATAAGTTTGGGTAAATATTTGACGCAATTATAGTTTGTATGGTTTGGATTTTTATTTGGTTAGAAGCTTAAGTAATATTGGAAAAGAGGAAATGCAGTGAGAAAACTGAGGGAAAGAGAGTGTGAGGACAATATTCCATGGATAATTTTTTTTTTTAGATACATTTTATTTAATTCTCTGCCAATTGAAAGTTTGTTTGTTGTTTCGTGAAATTGGAACAAAAAACATTTAGTATAAGTACATTGAACTTTAAGTTCTTTAACGATTAAATTAACATTGGCAAATATTTAAATCAAATCAAATCAAAATATGCTTTATTGTCATAAAAACAATTGCTGTCGGCAAAGCCATTCTTAATACTGAAAAATAAAAAATAGAAAACTAGGTATAACAACAAAATTGAAAAAAAAAACACTTACAACAAAGAAATTAAAACTTATATCTAATACAAAAATATCTCAAAACCAAGAACAAAATTCAAATTATTAATTGAAGAATTAAGTCAAACTTTAAAACCTAATCTAAAAATACTGCCGCGAAAATCTGGCGGAAGCGCCAGGGTGTACAGAATTGGACTGCTGATTCGAAATTTTACGTTGATGTTCGGGAATATATAGGTCGATCGCGGTTATTCCGGAATATAAAGGCCGGTATTAGTTTGTAGTTTTCAAGTTTAAGTTTCGCTCTTATACGATTTAAATAGTGAATATTATTAGGAGTTGTAAAGAGTTAAGTTGTTTGTCAACATAGAATTCGCGTAGGATCTAGTAGGCTTTGGCCATTAAAGTCCTCCTTAAATTATTCCTAAAAATCCTGAGAGTGGAAGATCTCCTTACACTGGTGCGGTAAATGGTTGAACATTTTGATCTCCTCATAAATTATAGCCCTCCTAATAAGAGCCAATGAGGGTATAGGAAGTCGCAAGTGCATATGCTGACAGGTCACATATCCAGTACATTGATGGGCAAATTTTTCACTATCCACAAAAATCAGACAGGCAGTCTCCAAGACAAACAAAGAAGTGAGCGTCAGAATTCCATTTCCACAACAAAAAGGGGTCTGCAAGATGTTCTTGGCGATACCCTGTAAATATATCTCAGGACATGCTTCTGAATCACAAACAAAGAGTTACAAAGTTGTTTACTTGCGGCACCCCAGGAAGCTATACCGTAGCGAAGTCTAGATTCAATAAGTGCAAAATAAACTGACCTCCCAACCTCGGCACTCAGTTCCCGAGTAGACAGCTTGACAGCAAAGCAGCCTGAAGATATTTGCTTTGCTAAAGAAAGAATATGAGGCTCAAATCTCAGTTCACGATCAATTGTAAGCCCACGAGACATAGCCTTCGACACACTTGGAACAGGAACACTCCCAACAACCAAGCCATCCAAAGCACATCCAAAAGCAACCACCTTAATCTTGTCAAGTTTGAAAAACAACATATTGGCATCACATCAAATCCTAACTTGTTTCAAATCTGATACAACACAATGAGACAACATCTGGGCAGTTCTACACAATAATCGTGTCGTCCGCGAAAATAGTAAATTTGTCTATAATTTTCAGATCAGCCAAGTCATTTAGATACAAAAGAAAGAGGAGGGGTCCAAGCACCTAACCCTGAGGTACCCTCCAGTTAATGGCATGCGATGATGAACAAGAAGTTCTCACATATACATGTTGCGTTCGTTTACGCAAGTAAGACTGAAATCAAGAAACAGCCACCTCTTTGATGCCATACTGGCTGAGTTTACGCAGGAGAATATCATGGCTAACACAGTCAAACGCTTTCGACAGGTGGCAAAAAACTGCCGCGGTTACTTCACCATCATTAATGTGGCTGAAAGGCATACTGAGCAAATGAAACATAGCGTCAGGCGTAACCCTACCCTCTCGAAATCCAAATTGAACAACACTCAGAATATAGACTTTACCATTTTTTCGATTATTTTCGATAACGATGACAAAAGCGCAATTGGACGAAAGTTAGATGGATTATCAAGATCTTCGCCTTTGTGCAGCGGAATTACGTTAGCAGTTTTTAAGACTGTGGAAAAAGCACCATTCAGCCAAGATGAGTTTATAGCTTCCACGAGCACTGTCAAAACAGAATCAGGCATGTTTAGAAAGACCTTAGCAGATAGACAATCAATTCAACATGATTTCGTGTTCTTAACGGATAGAAGTGTCGTCTTAAGTTCCACCAAATCCGCAGGCAACAAGTAGAAGGAATTTCCGACAGAGATATCTGACAGATAGGAAAGTGGATCCACAGATGGCAATATTTCATTGGACAGTCTCTCAGCAATGGTACAGTAGAACTTATTTAAGCAATCAGGTTCATCCGCTTCCCTATGTTTATTACTGCGGCGAATATCATCGATGATATTCCAGGTTTCCTTTTGTTTATTCCCAGATTTTCTCAAGCGGTAACGATAATATGTTGCCTTTGGTAAAAAAATTAATCTACGATACATGAAGCGATAACTCAAAAAATATTGGTGGAAAACTGGACAGTCCGTAAACCTTCTGATGGTATGTAGAGATCTAAGATTCTTTGAAGAAACCTTGAGACCTTTGGTAAACCAGAGCTTCTTGTGGGGTTTATTTTCAATTTTGCTTATGAGAAACGCACTATTGAAAAGCTCTTGAACAGTTGCATGAAACTCTTGGATTGGGTCATGGGAGCTCAGTACGTGTTTCCACGTGGTGGATGCACACAACTAGCGAAATCGGGCATAATTTTGCTTTGAGAAAATTCTTCCTACTCTACAAACAGTCCTGGAACATAGTGCACCACAAAAGACTCGAAAAACTACTGCGTCATGATCCGACAAGGCTGCATTCAACACAGAACATTCCAATATACTATTTTCCTCATAATTAGAGCAAACATAATCAATTGTACTTGACAAAAACTTAGAGTACCGTGTGGGGGTGGCTACACCCCCTTGCTTCTGAGAAATTTCTTGGTATCGGCACACCCATAATAGAACCGACTTGGAAATTTTTACAGGGAGATAGACCTGCGAAACTCAGCGCCGTAGAAGCTTGGATAGGGCAGCAACTGGCAAGATGCGAGACGTTCTGAAAGAAGGGTTGCCAATATATCTTTAGATATTGGCGTATAAATAATGCGTTCTACCGGTTGTTACAATAAATGGATGCGAGCATCTCACTCTAACAAAAAAAATATATATATATATATATATATATATATATATATATATATATATATATATATATTGTTACGAAAACCGCAACTCAGCCAGGATTCTAAGAAATTACTTTGTTACGACAAGCAAAAGGTAGGATCATTTAATTAACATGACTATTATTGGTGCATAAATTTGAGCTGAATATTTAAATAATTGGCAAGATAACAAGTGGACTAGTCTAAGCTTATTAGTGCGACCAATGAGTGAACTTTTATTAAACTTAACTAGTGACTTTATTATCGGATTTGACATCGAAAAACAAGCTCAAAAGTGAATTTTCTGGAAGTCTACAAAGCAATTTTTCTAGAACATTCCATCGTGCTCTAAAGTTCATTCCACGAACCGAGATACTAGAAGTAAACAAACAGGCGGAGCTTAAAAATTCAGAGAAGGACTGCCAAAATATGAATAACAACTAATGACATTTATTATTGTCAGGTTGTCATATGAGTCAGTAAGTTTAATGTCGTATTTCCTAGTATTTTACAATTATTTGAATAGTGCTTGGTGAATTATAGTTAATTAGACGGTCCTGCCTAGGGCGGAGTATAATCCTTTTCTAGCCAATAAAATTCGACTTACCTGTCAAAGTTTGTTTACTGTCACTATCTCGTTTCGTGAAATGGACTTTAGTTGGAAATTTGACTTGGCCACAGAACTTTAGATTCAAAATCAAGTTTCAAGAAAGATACTGAATAATCTATGTTAAATACCCAACAGAAAACAGCCGAAATGGATTTAAGCAAATGTAGGCCCACTTCATGAAAAATTTAGACTACAATAAGAGAAAAGAAGAGGAAGGCCGGAGAAAAACAGAAAGACAAGAAGAGGAAAACCGGAGACAGAAAGAGATACAAGAAGAACAGGACCGGCTTGCATCAGCACTTCTTTTTCAATAAGAAGATCGTAGATTGAGAGAAAAATGAGAAGCACAGAGCTGGTCCTGTTGTTCAGGAAAATTTGAAATTTTAGCGAGGATGGATGCAAATTGTAATTTCTGAAGAACAAGTCAAACTAGAGAAAATTCTGAAAGGGCAAGATAAAGGAGTTGGAGAGGTTCGCCAAGAAATGGACAGTTTTCAAGAGAAGATTAAAAAATTGGAATGTGACTTGAGGTCAGGGAATGTCTCAGCCTCGCCTGCACCTGGTAATAAATAAAACTATTGTCCGCTTGCCGTTTTGTTCAACGT